AAGTGCTCGCGGAAAGTTAATCTTGTGTCTATCATGACACCAAGATACTTTATCGGTATTCTTAAAAATCAATATGGAAGCCAAAGCCAATAGAAGTATACGATTCCAGTTCTTACAGGTCAATTATATATAATTTAGAATCTTTATATACAATTATAAATAAAACACAATAAAATCAATTTTAACTAAACTTATTTTTATACATGCACGATAAAAATGTAGTTGTAATTATTACAAAGATAAATCAGATATTAAAGTTTAGGAATGTGTTTTTTCTCCATTTTTCGTTGACAGTATTTTAAGCAACTCATGCCGCGGATTGCTAACTGGTCGTTGTGTATTCCAAGATTGTATTTCTGCAGTACCAAAGAATTGATAAAACATATATGTCAATACAGAAATAATTCCCGACACTTCAAAAACTTTTCTCCACTGATCTATGGAATCCTAAAAATAAAATAAATGTAAGTTCCATTAATTTACTTATTTATTACCCTAAAGCCATTGAAAATGGGAAAGGCAGAATGAATCATCGCAGACCCAACAAAGTATATACATACATATATTCTTGTTAAGGCCACGAGCTGAGTCAATGTAGTCCGTCTGTCCGTGCGCCCGATTTATGAAAACCTAGATATCAGAAGTTTTATAAGCTAGACAAATGCATACAGATGCTCATACATGTATCAAGGGGCAATAGTGTGCGTGTGCCCGTCCGTCGCGAAAACATTTTCATTATGAACACCACGCTAATAACTCCCATAAAAAAATATTTTGTACGAGCCTGGCAAACGGGTTGAAGAGTTCGGTATACTATTCACACAAAAGGAAAGACATTGGTTCTTGCTGCGAAGAAATTTCAATTTTCGTGAGCTGCTGCTCGTGCTCGCGTGCATACACATTTGAGAGAGCAGAGAGCATCGAGAGAGAGAGAGAGAGAGAGAGAGCAAAAGAAACATCCCAGTGGCGACGACCTGAATGAGGTCTGTTGAAATAATGCATTACATACGAGAAAAAAGTAATGCATTACCTATGAACATTTTTTTCAGCGCATTTGTAATGTACAAAATAGAAAGTGCTACTCATACGACAGAATCGAGCTTCGATCGTCAACTTCGTTTTTGTATGCTCTTCCCCGCTAACCAACAAGCGATTTTCGTCTTTCGTTGCGTCGTGACGAAATCGCGAATGCATGGAATGCGTGCCTTCTTTCGTTTGTTTTATTGTCTATGTTTCGTTTTATCCGCTGTGACGAGTCACTTTTCTAATTTTGTTATCTTAATATAATTTTTAATGACAAAAAATTAATAATGTTTATTAAAACCAATGTGTGGACAGGAACTGCTTTCGGGTTCACAAGGGTCGGCTTGCAAAGCAGAAATTTGATAAAAAAAAAACACAAATAATTATATGAATAAATACGTAATATTACAAATTAAATGATTCTTATAAATGTAAATAAAAAATGGTACATTACTGAATCGTTTCTATATTTTCATTAGTAATCAATTATTTATGCAATTACATTTGCAAAGAAGTAAGCCATATTATATAGTGGGAAAATGGGTTGCGGGTATATTGTGTTGTAATGTACGCACATTACTAACCAATAAGCGACTTTGAAATTGTATACTGCGTTTTCCTCAGACTGTGGAATTTCTACATTACAATATTTAAAGAGTATGCGCATTGGTAATGGAGAGCCGAAGGAAACTTCGTGACCTCATTAATTTTTGTATTACAAATTCACTAATTTCATGCACCCGGGAGCAAAAGCGGCCATTTCTTAAAAAAGTAAGGCAGCTTGTAATCGATTTTTTCATGCACACAGGCGACAAGTATTCCATGAGTAATGGACAAAATAATGGGCATTTCCGCCATTGGGATTCAGTATAGAGGGATCTTTTGTTCAACATTTGACCATCCCGGTCGAGCGCATGAAGCGAAATGATTGTGCTTTCGTATATTTTCGAAGATCGAACCTAAAAGTAAGGCGCAGAGCGAATCCACGGCAGTCTGGGGTGCTAAAGCCCCAGAAAATGCGTGCACTTTCCACTAGTTGTATAGTCCATGTGCTCTCTGGTTAGTGATTATACGCAGTACAAGCTTTCGATAAGTAATCCGATAAATTTTTTTATCGAGAATAATCCAAACAATTTTTTTTTTTTTCAGCCCCACTTGAACACTTTTAGTGTGTATTTGTGTATATAAATATTTCGGATTTCGGATACTACGCCCCTAGTTTGTAAGAGTACTTTGGAATATACATACATTTAAGCATTATGATTATGTTCAGAAAGTTTCATTAAGATTGTACACATAGAAATTAAATTATTCATCAAATAAATTCTCATAATATTGACACATTGCGTGCGTGCGAAAGCATTTTTATGTATGTGTGCATAAAAGAAGTAAAGAATGATTAGAGTATTTCCTAGTCGAGCAGTCTCGACTAGACTTGCTTGTTGAAAATGTAAAAGAGTTTATTTTAATTATTCAAAGTTGTAGATTGATGGATTTTCCATAAGCTCGACGCTGTGTGCTTCTTTGCCTATTTATTTACCTGACTGCCTGATACCTTATTATCCTGTTAGCTGTCTGTCATACAAAGCGCATTGGATCCCTAGCCACTGCGGCATTGAAAGAAACGAGCTAGACGACGTTAAAGTGGCCGCGAACGGCGATGCTATAATATTGAGCGGCAATATGCGAGAAAGCTCTACATGCAGATTTAAATGTAATCGCTTAAAACATGTTAGAGTGCAAGCGAAGCGAGAAGAGAGCCATAGCGAAAAGTAAAGCGATTCGCGAAAAAGCTTAAACAGGCGTTGGTTAGTAGTTGAAATATGTTCTTTTTCGCAATTTGAGCCTAAATAACAGTTTGCTTAAAAATGTATTTATATTTGTATACCCTGAACCCATCGAAAATGGGAAACGGTTTTGTTAAAATGTATGTAACAAGCAGAAGGAGGCGTGGCAGACCCCACAAATCAAAGCGACGAGCTGAGTCGATTTAACCTTCCGTCCGTCTGTCCGTATGTATGAACGCGTAGACCTCAGAGGTACATATACATAAATAGCGCGCATATCATATTATCACTAAAAATCAATAACTTGCTCCCGCTTTTTTTTATTGATAAAAACAAAGATGTGACAAAGATGTGATGCATTAAAGGTGCCACCATCACTTTGTTTGCCATATCATCTATAGCACAATTTGGAAAGTTATACAATTTCCAAAATTTTTCAGTTATGTCAATAATCATTTCTTTTGAAGGCTGTATCATATGCTTTGGCTGCGACTTTTCCCGAACTTCAATGACCGTTTCTTTCGCAATAACCTAAACTTTAGACCTTCCAATTTAAAATGCATATGACAATGATGTGAAGGAAGCATACGTTGCCAAATATCTGAAAATGGTTAATATTTGTTTTTCATAATTAAATTGTTTTTCTTAACCATTGGAGACTGTTAAAAAACAAGTAAGAAGGCTCTACTCGAGACTGCTCGACTAGGAGATACCTTGAACCCTCAAAGCTGATATTCTAATTATTCTGCACTTCTTTTATGCACGCACACATAAAAACATATTCATCCACACTCACAAATGTAGTACCAAAGCACAAGTCTCTAGTACTTTTTTTTAATTGGGGGCGAAGTATCCAAAATCTATTGATTACAAAATGTTTATATTCATCGTATGTATATACACAGTAAATCTGAAGTCTCCACGCCTAATAATATGTAAAACAGAATTATCGATTGTTCTCGATAAAAAAGTTATCGGATGATTTATCGAAAAATGCATGCAAAACTCAGTTCAGTGTATAAATTATATAAAAATCTTTGGGACCAGTCCCGAAACGGGTACAAGTAAAGGTCGCTTGAAAAGAAGAGATTGTGCACCTGATACTGGTACATAAACTTCGTAACCTTATTTTGAGTCAATATTGTTTTTAAAATACCCAATGAATCCAAGCAATCGGTTGGTAATTTGGAGGCCAGCTGCTCCAATTAAAGTTTGAGCATTCCGGAGACGGAAGATTCGGTAGACACAGTATTGTCTCAAAACTTGACAGAGCTGTACAACTCCGATTAGCAAAATAATTTTACAAAATAAAGAAAAAATTAAAAATTAAGTTAAGCATGCCTTCCTAACTGCTAGCCATTAGGAAAAACTAAAACTTTTTGAAAAAAAAAAAAAAAAAATACTTGTTTTATTATTATTTTTTTTTATTTTTAAATTTTTTTTTGTTGAGAGCCTTCTATATATATGAAAACGATGGACTAGAAAAAAAATTGATTTGCTGAATGGAATTTCAAAAGGTTGTTCTTTCCCATTTTCAAGATGACTCTCAACTATTCCCGTCATTTTGTTATCGATTGAAACCTATATAAAAATCCTTTATGTATCTAATATATCATAAAAGCTATAGTCTGCAATTTCTATAAGCCAAACCCGTTAAAAAAAACAATTGGTTTTCTTGGATTCTATGTAGAAGTCGTGGCAGACCCCACAAAGTATACATATTTCTGATCAGGTCGACGAGTTCAGCCTGTCCGTCTGTGTGTCTATCCGATCTCAGAATATATGAGGCAAGAGCTTAACTTCAAATATCGATGGCTCGTGCCGTTATTTTTATACTCATTCACGAAAGTGTAATGGGTTTTGTGCAATGTCTGTCTTGAAATCCGTCCGTCTTTACGTCTGTCCATATGAACGCAGTTTATTTCGGAGTTATTGAAGCTAGAGACTTGAAATTTGAAGCACATACTCGTTGAAATTTGAAACACATACTCCGATCCACCCACTTGGGGCGAGGCAAACCGGAATATGCATTTTCGATATACCAGAAATCATATTAGTTGATCACGAGCTATGACGGATATATTTACGCTTATTGAGGGCGTGGCAATCGAATAAAACTGTATCTCCTAGAGTTTTAAAGCTAGACTGTTAAAATTTTGCATGTGAGCTAATGTTATGATTCTACAAAAATAATTAAAACTTTGTCTACCCATTGAAAATGGGAAATCAGGGTATTATGGTTTTGTGAAAATGTATGCAGCGGCCAGAAGGAGGCGTGCAGACCCCATAAAGTTTAAATATTCTTGATCAAGATGACGAAGTCAGTCGATATAACCTGTCCGTCTGCCCACCCGTCCGTTAGTATGAGTGCGTCGATCTCAGGCGATACAAAAGCTAGAGAACTGAAATTAGGCATGTATCGTGTATAGTGCGAATAGTATACGCAGTACAGGTTTGTCTTAATTTTTCGATAAACCATCCGATAACTTTTTTATCGAAAATAATTGAAAATTGATTTTGTTTTTTATTTTCAATTATATGAATCCATTGAAAATGAGAAATTTAGGTATACTGGTACTGTCAAAATGTATGTAACAGGCAGACGGAGCCGTGGCAGACCTCATAAAATATATATATTCTTGATCAAGGCAACGAGCTGAGTTGATATAGCCCTGTCCGTCCATATGTCCATATGCTTGAACGCTTCGCTCTCAGAAGATAAAAGAGATAAAGTTTTGAATTTTATTTTATTTTTATATATGGGAATGGGGCTGAATTCCATATATAAACAAGTAAGAAAGCTCTAGTCGAGACTGCTTGACTACGAGATCCCCGGAACCCTCCCAGCAACTGATATTTCAATAATTCGCACACGCACACTCACACACACACTCACACGAATTCCCATTCTTTTGTTAATAAACGAATATAAAAAAAAAACACACACACACACATACACTTACAAACACACTTACACACACACACCGAAGCCGTGGAACGGAATGTACACGATCCTATACGACGCACCGAAATTAGAGCGAACAACATTGCACGATAGCAAACAAGGTGGAACAGCTCAGCCATGGATAACTTGCAAACATGGCGAAGTTAATTTTATCTTTCACATATTCTATCGGGACATTGGCGCTTTTGGAGCTACTTGAAGCGCTTTGGCCACGATGAAACCGACGAATGTTCTTGGTGCGGCGAGGTCTGGTGGAGGACGCCAACCTCGTCTTATTCGAATGTGGACGCTTCCTAGAGGAGAAGCGTTGTCTGGAAGAAGCATTAGGCCGCTCCATTAGAGCGGACAACATGGTCAACGTGATGTTGGAATCAGAGGCAGCTTGGAAACTTATAAGCACCTTCGCGACCACAATCATGATGGCGCTTCGCAGAATCGAGCGACGACGGGCAAACCTAAGGGAGTGCAAAGTGCTTGCGAAGCAAGGCTTTACGGCCGTCCCGCAAGCATCGTGCGCTACCCCTAGTCACCTAAACACACTCATATTATAAAAGTTGTTAATACACGAATAACAAATCAAGTAAGAAAGCTCTAGTCGACACTGCTTGATTACGAGATCCCCTGAACCCTACAAGCAACCGATAATTCAATATAACCAAAACACACGCACACAAATACACATACAAACAAACACACGCACACACACACGCGCTTGGGCTATTTCTAGACGTACGATCGTAATGAAACTCAGAAAATTGATCATGTATATACATTCCAAAGCACAAGTCTCTACTATTTGAAATACGCTCTTTACAAAGGTGAGGTTGAGGGAGGCTTTTAGTGGTCGGGGGTAAATTTGAACAAAAACCGAAATTATATAAAATACACATAAGTCGACATTTAAAATTTGGAAGCTCTAACTCTAAAGGTGTAGTAGATATAAAGTAGCTTTCGATAAGGTTTTCAATCGATCATAAAATATCGGGAGTAGTTATCGATTTGTAGTGATAAACTTGATATGCGCGTGATATACACGGACCTAGAAAAAATCGCTGGCTCTTATATCTACTGAGATAGACGCGTTCATACATACGGACGGACGGACGGGCGGATACACACACACAAATACATACATACACACACACACAGCAGGTGCACACACCATTGACTTTTCTGGTGATGTAGCCGTCGTCGCAATAGGCAAGGAGCTGGGCTCGAGCTAGCGCCACACTAAACTGAAGCCGTCCTAATCAGCAGTCGCAAAAGAGTGGAAACTGCCAATATAAAGATCGGCAGCGACACCATTGCGTCAAAGAGAGCGATAAAGTATCTTGGTGTCATGATAGACACAAGATTAACTCTCCGCGAGCACTTAGAATATGTGAATAAAAAGTCAACTGATTCTTGTAGAGATCTCTCAAGAATTATGCTTAATACGCGGGGACCAAAACAGCAACGGCGTCTCCTCTACGCTGCGCCAATATGGGCAAGCGCGATTGCAACACCGAGGTACAGCCGGGGCATTTGCGCGATCTACAGACTGAGCGCAATCAGAGTCTGTTGCGCATTCAGAACACTCTCTGACGACGCGGCGCTCGTCATAGCCAGCAGGGTGTCTCTGGATGACCTAGTCGCCGAGGCCGTGGAACGGAATGCACACGAGCCTATACGATGCTCAACTAAAGGGCTCTGAGTTTGAGCCATGGATAACACGCAAACACGGCAAAATTAATTTTTATATTTCACAGATTGTATCGGGACATGGATACTTTCGGAGCTACTTAAAGCGCTGTGGCCACGATGAAACTGACGAATGCGGACGAGTCTGGTGGAGGACGCCAACAACGTCTTATTCGAATGTGGAAGCTTCCTAGAGGAGAGGCGTTGTCTGGAAGATGCATTGGACCGCTCCATTACAGCGGACAACATGGTCAACGTGATGTTGGAATCGGAGGCAGCTTGGAAACTTATAAGCACAATTTCCGACCACAATCGTGATGGAGCTTCGCAGAATTATAAGCCATTATACCCTGATTTCCCATTTTAAATGGGTTCAGGGTATAAAAACATATGTTAAAAAATTGAGTAGATGTTTTTAGCCCATGCACTATGGGCAAAAATACCGATAGTTTGGCATAAACCTGATTTTTTTATCTCGAAATCGTAATCTGAGTTGATTTAAGCAAAAACATATGCCTTGGCTAGCATCTGACGATATACTGTCACGCCAACAATAAGAATATGGGAGAAGACCTTTAGCTATACCGAAACAGGATCCCGATTAAAGAGGAAGTTCGCTTCTGAACTTGCCTCAGATAGTAATAATTCAAAACACATTTTTTCATCAAAGAAACCAATAAAACTTGTGTTGCAAAAAACCATGAGTAGTGACAATTTATGGGATATGGAAAATAAACTATCATTGAATGTCTCAGTACCTATAACTGCTGAAGGTGTCAGTAGAGTTTTTAATTGAAAACGGGTTATCTAAGCAACAATATTTCAACATAAAAGCATTATATAACAATTAAGAAGACTCTAGTCGAGACTGCTCGATTAGGAGATACCCTGAACCCTCCAAGCTGATATTCTTATCATTCTGCACTTCTTTT